CTTACAACACTGAAACTGCTCAGTGCTATATTTATAACTGATATCAGTGACTATTTACTGATTCACTTTAAGAGAGCATGGAGAGAATTTTCAAGTAAAAATTATTATAGGATTTTGTAACCGAGGAATAGATCAATATTCTGCAATAATTCGCCGTCCTTTTGTTTCACACACACACACACACACACACACACACACACACACACACATATAATCGTCCTATTACAAATAATATAAAATTATAAATAATTTATTCGTTCGATGGAATTAATTATTAATCAAACTTTGTTATAATCAATTATACACTGATTAGTTTCAAAATAAATCTTATCAATCGATTCAGAATTCGATTCGTGATTACATATGTGACGATTAATTAATTTTGATTATTGATTTGCCGATTATTTTAATCAAGAGAAATGTTTATCGTTAAATACTCGACGCTGCTGTGGATATTATGTAACGATCGAATACTGAAAGGAACTCATTGCCACGCGTAGCAAGTCACGACTTCTGCGAATGACTTCGATGAATATTTTGTCGATCTGAAATCTGGATTGAGCAATGAGTTCAAGTCGCTCAAATGAGACGTCTCAACTGGCCGAATCATCGTCGCCGTCGTTATCGACATTATAGTGTAGCAGCGATAAATGCTCGATGCAATCGCAACGGTGAATAATAGCTTGATAATTAATTTCGATGTTAATAAATCTCGCTAAGTAACGCTCGATAATTAATAATTCATGCCCGCGTTTTAATAAACTTCCGACTAATATGCGTAATGAACAATAACAGGTAATAATAATCGATAATATAAACTTCCCTCGTATTAATGTATTTTCGAGCAATAATAACCGGTGAAACAATTGTTACCGTCGATCGGAGTTCCTCGGGCCGGCGTCTTCGCGCTCGCGATTGATAAATTTTGCTTCGCTATTTTGTTGCCTCGGCTTTGGAAAATAACTTTATTTCTGACATGTTAATCTTCAAACGCGATTACATGGCGTTAAACGAACTTAAGTTGCTTGCAAAAATATATTTTGTATCATGTTTTTCTCAACGAAGAAAAATCTGCTCTCTCTCTCCCCCTCTCCCCCCCCCCCCCC